CGTCGAGCTGATTTGAGATAACTGGAATAACCTCTTTTATAATCGAGTCATCGCTAATTAACTCAGGTGCCATATTGGAAATCACGGCACTTATTACCGCGGACAATTTATCGTTGTCATAGAGGCCCGTCACATGCAACTGCAAATAATAAAAAGAATTAGTAATTGGAACAAGAGAAAAAAAGATACAAGGATTAGAATTGATAATTGGGAGTAAAATATTAAAAATAAAAGATAGAAAGAATAAATTAGTGATTAAGGTGATGCTGGAGCCGTCGGTATAACCGACAAAATTACCATTTTCTATGTTATCGATTATATCTGTCCTTGTATAGACAAAGATATAGACAAGGATAGCACGCTACATTGCACGCACACATACGCACGATGCACATCGACATTATACTTTTATATTACGCTTCTAAATCTTTATTTGGAGGGTTTATCGATGTTTTTCTTGTTGTACAATTCGGGGGAACTTGTTTTCGCGTTCGTACCAATGGTATATCTCTTATATGAAATACATCTTGTGACGAGCTGACAGCTCGCCGCAACTCGAGACGCCATATTGGGATAAAAGTAGGATAAGGAAATCTGTACTTCCGTAATTTTTTCTCGTTTTTTATATAAAATCGGAGTTCCCCCGAATCATTAATGTATGTACTGCAATTCTGGAGAAGGATTTTTAATTCTGTCAAATTAATACGACGCTACGTGCCGACAAAAAATGCCGGTAAAACAGACGGCTCCAGCATCCCCTTAACTGAAAATTAAGTTGTGTCGAAAATATTCGAATAACGAAAAAATTGCTTGAAAGTTAAAAATGATGTTTTGAATAATGATTTCTAGCTGGTTGCATATAAAACTTCAAATTCTAAAAATGTCGATTTTTTTTAACGCTTTTGCAAAATAAATATTCTTTTTGATAAGCTAGCGTGAATATTACATATATATAGCGATACAATTTTTTTACGAAGATATAATTTAATTTCTGCTAAACATTTTCAAATTGTTATTACAATAAATTTCTGAGAACCGGAAACAAGAAATTTGTACAAAAAAAGAGAAATATTTCCTAATTATATAAATTATTACTTTATAAATTAAAATAATTATTTAATGTATTTTAAATAATTTATCGATAAATTTTCGAAAATATATGGTAAATATATATAAAATATATATATATTTGAGTTTTCTTAGTTGCATATATTTTTTTCTCAGCAAGTTTTTGAGAACCTGTGATATATACATATAAAATTGAAATTTTATTATACGCAACGACATGACAGTTAATTGTGAAAATTGCAAGAAGAAAGAAAATAGAAAGCAAGAACAAAGAAAGAAAGAAAAAGAAAGTTTTGATGAGATTTTTTTAATCTATTTACTTACATCTAGTGAATTTAAAGAAAGCTTCAATTTCATGTTTTTTACTTTCAAGTGTCCGGTTAGCCCGTCGTCCATTATGAACTTAATTTCCGTGTCAAAAGTGAATTTTTGCGCGGTCATGCTGAAAATTGAACACGTAGTATATCATTAACTTTAACAGTTTACGATTTGTATGTTTACTTTAAATTAAGATAGATTGAAAGTTTTTTTTATTACTATGAAAACAGACATAAAATTATTAGAAAGAAACATTTGAAATAAGTTGAAAACATCTTACGAAGAACTTGTGACTTTAAAGTCTTGAAATTAAAATTGCCGAAATTATATTGGTTTCGATTCTCGATCGGTCAAGAATGACTACTCACTTTATATCACCCTTGCCGTAAATTTCGAAGGCATCAACTTTACCGTTCATAGAATAATTAGTACTCGCGGCTATCGACAGTGGCCACGAAAGATGAAGTTCCAAGAAAATTTCTTTGGACAGGGTGTAGTCAGCATTAATAACATCATATTCGGACAAACCGATTACGTTGGCCTCCGTCAAGAGCGCATCCAATCTGAGAATATACGAGAAACGTAAAGAAAAATTTATAAAACATTTAATCCCGCGATACACACTTTTTTTCCGTTTAAGTAACACGCATTATTAGCTGAGGCTATATTAGGAAAAAAATATTGATTAGACAACGCTTGCAATTTTACTGTCATTTAATTTAAAAAATTAGAACGGCACTCACTTTATTTTTTCCTCATTTAATCTGATATCTAACCGGTCTGCATTAAACGGATCAAGAATCGGAATTCCGAGTGTCTCGTTTCCAGTCTTTAATATAGTTTTAAACTTTTCAAGAAAATCTTCTAACATCTTATTCCCAAATTTGCTTGCAACTGAAAGTAAAAATTTGCACGGTGTAGCTTACAAACTAATGCTAAACAAATGCAAGTGTCTTGAACGTTATCTAATAATATGTCTGACGAAATATTATCACATTAAAAGAAAAAATATAACAAAGGTAAAAAATGCGTAAATAAAGGTAAAAAAAGATTTATAAAGTTATGAAAATTAATAATATTAAAGAATAAATTGAACCGAGATAATAGTTTAATAACACGATAAATATATTGTTCAAAAATACGCTAAAGTACGATCTTCTTATCAAAAATATTTCTAAAATAAAATATTTTTGAAAAAGAATACTTGAATCTAAAAACAAATAACTTAATAACAGATTGTTCAAAAAATAGACAGTACAAAGATAAATATGAAATAAATGTAAAGACGATTAACTCTTCTAAAAATATATAGCTTAACCATTCAGCCCTGCTTTAAATCCTTGTAATCTGATTAACATTTTTAGACCGCAATTAACATTTAAGGGTACAAAGAGTTGCTCTTTCCGAAAATCTAGTCGGTGATGAGGTGAGATATTTAAAAAAAAAGATATAAAGGTTTGAAAGTAGAGGTTAGATAAAATGAATAAGTAACTCCTATCTTTTTACTGACAAATATTTAATTAATAAATGATTTCGTCTATCTTTTTAAAAAAAAATAAATTAATATAATTATTATTTTTGAGTTATCTATAACAAAAATTCTACTCAAAAAAAGTGGATAAAATTATTTATTAGTTGAATATTTGTCAGTGAAAAAGCAGTGGTCACTTACCTGTTTTATGTTTACTTTCAACTTTTATATTTTTCTTTTTAGAAATTCCACACTATTGCTGATTAGATTTTTAGAAAGAGCAACTCTTTTTATCACTAAATATCAATTGAGGTCTAAATCCAAACTACAAGGATTTAAAACAGGAAAGCGCGTAGGGGCCTCTTAGGACTTAATGGGTTAATGCATCTCTAGAGAAATATAGAAGAAATACCAGGAAACAAAAGAGAAAATATAGATATCTACTTACGGTTTGTCTTTGCTGCCCAAACATTGCAACAGAGCAAGATGAGTCCGAACGTTATCAGATTCATTTTTCTGTGTGAAGTAGAAAAGACGTTTTATTAAGTTACCTCGAACACGGTCACAGTCTTAAAGCTAACGAATTCGTCGCCGTTGTTATCATTGATTATTATCGTGAAAAAACATCGCGATTATCGAAAATGTTTTCGCAAATTATCGCGACGCGCATATAACACAGAAGCAGAAGTCGAAACGTACGTTCGAACGAAATATCCATAAATTTAATCAACACGTCATGACGTCACTCGTTTAGTACTTGAACTTAGAATTGTATATTTTGTATTATCTGTGAATACAAAATGTTTTCCAAGGCCTAAAATGATCATATACTGTTTACGTACGGCTCGTTGTAAGTTTATTTACATCAGTAAAGTTTCTGACAACCGTTTGACTTAGCGTTTGATTAAACAGCACGAACGAAACTGCGAGCTGAAGAAAAATGTAAAAAAATGTATGTATTTATAGGCACGTTTCGCCGATATCGAATCGTTAAATCGAACACCAAGATCTCTCACTGATTATTACGTATATCACAATAACGATTCGATCTTTGAGCATCTAAGGAATTTAATTTTGTAGAATGCTCGAAATCACTTGACGTTATGTTTTCTTCGTTTTTCTTTTGTCGAAAAATTTCATTGGGTTTCGTTGCAATCACTAAGCAGTTACTTACGGCAATTTCTGTATTGCGTTATGTATCCAGGAAACGCAATTAACTATAATTATGTCATTACAATTAATTTTATTTTGGAGCGCTGAGTTTTTTTTATACCGATTCCTGTGAATCTTATCGAGACCAGAGATTAGATTATAAGCCAGCTTGTTACGCTGCAACTTGTGTAACGCTATCAAGTAACGTATATAAAAATAATGCACAGTCTTACTACTGGTCAGACATTTAAAAGCTGATAGGAATATTTTTTTTTACATTATAATAAATAAATAAAGGAATATTGCAGATAAACAATATTATAGAGAACATTACGTATTATCCGTAAAATTATTTAACTGCAAGATGACAATAGAAATCCGAACGGTATGGTTAATACATATAATAATAATTATTTTAATGTGTTGTTCCGATACTTTAATTTTAGATTACGGGATAAAATGAAAGAGATGTCATTGATAATATAACGCTACAAGAAAGCGATTAGATTAATCGAATCTTGGATTTTTTTCCTTTCTCAATCGTTGTACTTCATTACATTATCTTATCTTCTGTGTGCGCGCGCGCTTGTAGCGTTATATTATCAATGACATCTCTTTCATTTTATCACGTAATCTAAAATTAAAGTATCAAAACAACACATTAAAATAATTATTATTATATGTATTAACCATACCGTTTGGATTTCTATTG